AGCTCTCCTCCGGCGCGTCACACCCCGCGGGGCGGTGACAGCCCTCTCCGTGATGCAGCTGTTAGGTATGATATCAGCTGGTCACGTGGTGATCCACCTGGGTCTCCTTCACAGTGAGGAGACTCCAGAGGTGGTTTATTTGCCTGCGTATCGACCCCGTGCGTCAGAGGAGACGCATGGTGTACATTCCTCCTTCCGTGGGTTTGGATTGAACCCACTGGAAAAATCTCCACGTCAGTGGGGGTGCCCCTGAGCAGAGTGACGTCACACACCGCAGTGTTCACAGACGCATCTCTAGCAGGCTGAGGAACGTGCATGTCGCAGGCAGTGGGGGTACAGTGGCCGGGTCACATGTCTCTCCATATAAACGTGCTGGAATTACTATATGGAAAGTAATCCAGCACTTCGCCCTGTTGCTGTACAATCAACATGTGTTGATTCGAACAGACAACAAAGCAGCGGCGGCCTACATAAATCACCAGGGAGGTGTTCGATCAGCGCAGCTGCTGAATACATCCTACACAGCCAAATGGACAATGTTCCGTTTGGGGTGTAGGGAAAATCCTGGACCCCGTTGGGCCCCCTGCCTCGTGCTGTCGTTCCTCCAGCTGTTGCTGGACAGGAATTGGCTTATAGCACAGTCGAAACATATGCTGCTGCCATTTCATCTTGCCACGTAGATTGGTGTCAGCACGGTGTGTAGTCACCCTCTGACAAAACCTTTTCTACGGGGAGCACAGAGACTCAGACCTGTGTCACGCGCTTTGGCGCCTCAATGGGTTTCGGCTTTAGTGTTACGCGCACTGAGTAAAGCTCCATTTGAACCTTTAGATCAGGTTCCCCTGAAGTTTTTGTCAGCCAAAGTAGCTCTGCTCTTGGCTCTGACATCAGCTAAAAGGGTGAGTGATTGGTCTGCTCTCTCGGTGGCTCCGTCATGTCTCCGGATCCAAGGAGATGGCAGCTTAGCTGTTTTGCGCCCTAACCGGGTTTTTTATGCCAAAAGTTATCACAAGCTCGTTTTAGATCGAGAGTGATTTACGGCGTTGCATGGAGGAATGACAGTGAAAGACATTTGCACTGCTGCATCTTGGTCTTCCCCCTGTTCTTTTATTCGTTTGTATTTGAGGGATTTCTCCCATTCCTCTCTGACACATTCAGTACTGAATAGCCTGCCAGAATGAGTAATGTCGGGGTTTTTCAATTGCATGCCCTCTCTCCTGCCTGTCGGCACTTAGAGAGCTGCCTTTTTTTCCCCTCTCTTGATCGTTTTTAACAAGTGAGACTCGATCTCTACTTTTTATAAATGACAGGTAGGCTGAGTAAGCCTACCTTCATTCCCTGATGGAGAATATTCATTTTTTAATGCTATATTCCCTGGGAATGTGATGCTCCATTTACGCATGGCGAAATGGACATGGGTTATTAACTGAGTAGGTGTGTTTTGTGCTTCTGGTAACGGACGGAACCAGTGGGGCGTAGACTACATCCTGCTTCGCCCTTAACCCAATAGCGATAGCCTTAGAGGGCGAAGCCTTATACGATATAGAACTGGGGTTACGTAATGTAACCCAGCTTCTATGAGTATAGGCGCAGCCCTCTAAGGTTCGGGCCCCACTGGCTCCGCGAATAGCTAAAGAAAAGCTGTTGGAGTGGATTGTAAGGCCTACTTCCTATTTATACGGAAGTGAGCCCGGAGGTGGGGCTCACGTCATAGGTGGGCGTGGAATAAGTCTGTCAGTGCTGCACACGTGCAGTGGGATTAACCCAATAGCGATAGCCTTAGAGGGCTGCGCCTATACTTATAGAAGCTGGGTTACATTACGTAACCCCAGATCTCATTAATACAGCTGAATATAATATTCAGTTGTGAGGTCTGATAAGACTAGAAAATGCATTTCCTGCAGAAAATGCGTGCAAATGCTGTAAACTGTGTACATTTTTCTGGCTGAATTTAGCTGAAAATGCAGAAAAAGCTGAATATGTTATTAGTTGAATGGTCTCTGTAGCTGCTTTTAGCTACAAAAACCAAGTAAGTGCATTGCTGAACTTAGCGGAGAAATGCAGAAAAGTGTAATGATTTGAATCAAAATTGTTACAGCTCAAATGCATTGCAATGACTTTGTTGAAAACTTGAAAGTGAAATGTTAAACTGGAAGAGTAGGAAAAATAGTGAAGAAGCTTAATATTTAAAAAAAAAGTTTAAAAAAAAGGTATAAACAACAACATGTTGTTCAATGTCCTGAAATAGCTGAATAATGTAATAGTTGAATGGTTTCTGTAGCTGAAAGTAGGCTGAAGGAGTTACATATCAGATGTACGTAGTAGTGAATTAATTAATGTGTATTAAGAAAAGGAGAAGAAGAGAAACCAATGTGAGTTTGGAAAATTGCACAATATAAATCTATTCTAGTAGACCTCAACAATGGAATTATGATCAGTAGAAATGCACTTCAACCAAAACCCAGGCAGCAAGCGCACCATTTGTAAAGGCAGAATATCCTTTAAAGCAGGGTCAACAAATAATCTCCATCGCCACTTAAATACACAGTATCTAATATTAAGAGTTACGTGAATTTCATTCAAGGCAAGGCAACTTTATTTCCTGAACACATACAGAGGGTCAATTCAAAGTAGTACATTCACTGACATGAATGACATGGATATGGCGCCACCTTGTGTCATGTTTACAATGCAGATTATTGACATAAAGTCTGGCAATACAGTCAATCATTATCCTGGGCCCAGGAGTTCAAAACTTTTAATCTTTTTAATCCCTATCGGATCAGATTTGGATTTTGAGTAGTTCAAAACCAAAAATCAGGATTGGGATCAGTTTGATCCCAAAAAACTGGATTATCCTGATCCCACAAGAGGGGTGGATTTCCAGTGGATTACCAGAGCAAAATGTGTTTCAATATAAATAAGATGGCAAAGTTTGTTAACTGAAATAATACACAATCTTTAGCCTTCATGGCAAATCAATTTTATTTTTCATTTTTTGGTCACGTTTGTGGTGGCCTATTTTGTTTTCAACCAAATGTTGATGACATAAATGTTTATGCTCATACAAGTATCCCAACAAAGATTATCAATCACAAATGTAATTTAGATTAAAGAAAAAATATCTTCAACAAAAAAAGTCCACCATCTGTCATCACCTTTCAAAAGTAATTGTGGACAATAGATGTCTCTGCAATGTGGTCTCTTGTCTTCCTTGTATTATTTTTCATGTCCACTAGATGGAGATCGGTAGGATTAAAGCACTGATATTCAGGATCTAGTAATCTTGAAAAGTCGTAATCTGGATCAGGCTGATCCTATCCTGAATTGCTTTGAACTACAGGGACAAAATCTGGCCGACTTGTCTGATCCTGGATCACAACAAATGGGATTTCAAAATCTGATCGGATTTGATTGAGATTAAAAGTTTTGAACTCCTGGGGTGATTATTTTGCAGATAAACCTAGTAACCTCGCTCCCTTTAAAAAAAAAAACGGCTCTTTTGAACGCCTCTTTGAAAGGAACAGAGCCATAAGATCCGGCTCCCTTCAAAGAGCCATAATTCCCATCAGTACTCTTTACCAAGCTCCAAACTAAGTTAAATATCTCAAAAAGTGTAGAAGATATGAAAAATATGAAGAACAAGTTGTATAGCTGAAGGTCCTGTGATCATTTTAAAGTGAAATTAAGTCTCTAGCTAAAAGTATGTGGAAGGAGTAGCATTTGGCGCAAGGTGTGTAGTTAAAAGAGGATTTGAAGGTTCCTCCCATTGAGTTACATGTTAAAAAAGAGTTTAAAAAGCTGAATATTTCAAAAAAGTTGAAAGTTTCCCATCATATACTGAAAAGGCTGAATATTTTGATATTTGAATGGTTTCTGTAGAAAGTATAGGCTGAAGTTATCGGACGGCAAAATATTGGTTGAAAAGAAGAAGAAGAAGAAGAAGAAGAAGAAGAAGAAGAAGAAGAAGAAGAAGAAGAAGAAGAAGAAGAAGAAGAAGAAGAAGAAGAAGAAGAAGAAGAAGAAGAAGAAGAAGAAGAACTATAGTGGAATGCTGTTGCACAGCGAATTTGCACTAAATATTGGTTGTTTGTTTTATGTTCAAGAGTTCGACACAGACCAGCAGGATAGTAGGCTACATTACGTCGTATACGTCACTTTTATCCAGAGCATTATACTCAATACTGTTTTAGTACAATGGCTCTCAAACATATGGAAGGTTTATAACCATTACTCCAAATGTTGTCAACTGCTTCTGATATTGTACTTTAGTATCGGTGAAGACATGTATTTCCTTCTACAGTGTTGCTGCTGTGTAGTCTATTCAGTATTTGAATGTTATCCAAATACATAGTTAGCCTTGGCAATGGCAAATAATCACCCACAACATGTTAATTAATTATGAGCTTACAGTGTTTTAATGTTAATATATATATATAATAATAATAAAGTTTTGATATTAAAAAACATAGGCTACGTCTAAAATTCAAAAATGAATTAAACTTCTCCAGTGGTGCTTTATTATTTGAATGTCATCTAAATACAATATGCTGGTAAAAGGTTAAATCAATGCCAATGGTAAATAATATCTTACATTATTTAAATTACTGAAAGCGTTTTATACTTTTGATATTAAATCCATGATACATTTAGGGGTGGGCCCCTGATTACAAGTTGTGTGTCAGCTGTAACATATCTAGTTTTTAGACACAAACATTATAAGCAGTTGGCATTTCAACTTAAAAATATATTTTGTTGCCGAGAAGCCAGCTATGTTACAGTTGACAGGTAAAGGCAGCTAGTTAGCATCTTTGAATAACTCCCACTAACAGCTAACTAATGCAAATTGTTATTTGTGCAGGACAGCAGCTGCAGTTAGCTAACGGGACGACGGGCTATACTAGCTAACCTAGGAGCAGTGAAGCACTCGGGCAGTGGCGTCCCTTCGCGCTCGTGCTCTGTTCTGATGTGACCCCTCAGCAGCGGGAATATCCGCCTACCTCCGTCCTCACAGCCCAGCTCCGTGTCTGAGAACGCCTCCAAGTCGTCTTCCTCGTCGTAATAACCGACAGCCGAGTCCTCCTCCCTGCTCTGCGCTGAGTCCCTCTCACTCGCCATGCTCACTTCTTCTCCTGTCCTCCAGTTTTTGGTGAGGATTTATGCCGCTTGTGGTGAACAACTTTCCCTCATTGTCACCTGATACTTGAGAGCCATGCTGCTGAACTTTCACCCCTCCCCCACCCACCCACACACACACACACACACACACACACACACTCCAGTCCTACCCGCTGCCTGCTCTGGCTTTATGGATGAAACATAATCAAGTGGGGTGTTTCGGCATGGTGTAATGAAAGATTAAAAATAACTTGAGAGGACAAGCCAAGCTTTTAAATAGTTTGCTTCTTAAAATAACTCTGAATGCATGAATATGTTCCACCTCCTATTCTAAAGAAGTGTAATGTGACCAAGTTTGTATCCATGAAATATTCTAAAGTGGCAAATATGATTCTGTAAAGTTATTTTTAGAAATGTGTCCCATTTTAGGGACAAAAAGATTTTAAAAAAGCTCTCCATTATTGTATAAAAAAGTATCACTTCTTACTAAGAAAATTAATTACATTTAAATTAAGTCCCTGGTAGATTGGAAGAGAGCAGACAACAGTAACACTTTTCAGAGAAAAGTCGTAAAAAATGACTTTACAGACAGAACATATTTTTTGATCTGTTAATACCAGGTGCTTTCTTGTAAACATTTAGAACGAGCTTGTGTGGAGGCTATTTTTATATAACATTAGAAAGACTGATTATTATTAGTACATTATAAGCTTATTGTGCTCATTTATGTGGCTGTGACTTTGGAATAAATAGACGTCTTCAGCTTGCAATACTAATGTAGCAAGGTCAGGTGCAGACACTGGAAGAATACAAAGAGTTATTCATAAACAGGACATCACTCCGGCCTTTAGCTTTGGGTGAGCTCCGCTCCCACACATAGCTAGGAAGCAGCCTTATGAAGATTCCACTTTTTCTGTAGAAACGTTAGCGGAAACAAATTACGTATGATGGTGCCAGAGTAGGGAGGGACTTCCTCCTCTGGCTGGCCGAATGCTGATTGGAGGATCGTGTTGCCAAGAGACTTTTTTCAAAGTCTGTGCACCAACCAAAGAGAACCAAGTCTAAACCATGGTATCTCTTCAGCTAGTCTTGACCAATCATAAATGTACGGGCAACGCCACCGTGTGTAGGGGCGGTAAGGATGCTACCATAGCATCTTATTGTGTCAGTCACGTTGTTGCTAAACACATGAAGGTTTTCAAAGACGGCGAAGTTGTTAAAGAAGCATTCGTGGAGGCTGCCGACGTACTTTTTGGTGACTGTAAAAATAAGGCGGACATCATGACTGCTATTAAGGATGTGCAATTGTCCCAGAATACTGTTACACGGCGGTGTGAGATGATGTTGGAGGACGTTGAGGAGCAACTGAAGAGGGACAATAGTGCCTGTGAGTGTTTTTCTCTCCAGTTTGACGAGTCGACTGATATAATGGATGTGGCTCAATTATATGTTTTTATTTTTATCAGAAAATAAATACATTGATTTTCACTTTTCCATCTACATTTATTATATCTGGTATGCTTTTCTGTTCGTTGTGTGCATATAGAATATGCAGGTAGGCTGTCAGTTATGGCTACTCCTCTCTATTTGGACTGGTAGATCTCGGCAGACTGGGAACTTTGAAAGTAGCTCTTGGTTAAAAAAAAAGGTTGGGCACCCCTGATCTACAAGATTTCAAAATGCTAAGGAGAAGAGGTAGGTTTTAACCAGTTAAGCCCCGAGCCTGTTTTCCAGGTCTCAGGCTCGAAAATGACATTCCCAGAACAAATGACCATAACTACACTTCTAAAAGGGGTAAATTAATAATCTTTTTCCTCAAAGCAATGATAAACCTGTGAGTTGGATGTAGAGGAGTCAGAATCAATATAGATTTTTTTTATTTTAAAGTAAATTCGGATTGAACATAGTAAAAAAATGTAAATGATTGTGTCCGTCCAAAATAAACCCATTACTTATAGTGAAAACCACCCTTGAATGATGGGATAGTAGACTAAAAGCTTTAAGAATCCAAACTATAACATATAATAAGTACCCTTTATCAAGATTGATGCAAAACAAGTGACATTTGACCTTTTTAGAGAGATTTAGCAACAAAAAAAACACTTCTGGGGTCATTTGGGTGGATTTGACCTATCTCTGGCCACCCTTGGTCAATTTTGATGATTGACATCTCTTTTTAACCGTTAGAGCCAATGGGAGTGAGAGTGAGGCGTAGCCAAAATACCCAAAACAGGAAGCTGTCATATGTCATACACTCTGGAAGCTATCATTAGCAGCTAATATGAAAACTCAGTTTTTGACATAAAAATGGAAGTATGGATTATCAATAATTTTTCAAAGTGACAGATTGATTGATTGATTGATTGAAAAGTTTATTAACAGCTTGTATATTGGGTACAGTACAGTACAGCTCAAAACATACAATTGTTAAGGGGATGCAGACCAGAGAAAGACTTTCGTCTTGTTTATATCAGGGTCCCCCATTTCCAATTCATCATGTCATTTAAGACATATAAGACATATTTGACATACAGATGGCTTATTTACAATTTACATACAGGTGGTTTTTTACATGCAGATTGCTTATTTACAATTTGTATTTTAGATTTTGTTCTAATACATCCTAACCGGACATTTAAGACATACCAAGTCTACAGATATACAGTTAGTAACAGAGTCTAAAATGCGAGTATATACATAGATGGGGGGGGGGGGAAGCTGTCCATTGAACGACAGGTTGAGATTTGTACCATTACCGGGGCCAGACACAGACACAGACACATTGGATTAACCTTCAGCCACGTTTTTTCTCGTTTTAATGCCATTGAACACAACTTTTGATCAGAATAACAGCAAAATGTGAGCATATCTCAGTTTTTTGCTACCTAAAGTTACGTCGTGTGTTGTCTGGTATTGCTTCCCCTGTCGCAAGTTCTGATCTCAGCTTGCTAGCAAAGCTTGTTTGTGCAGATCCGATAAGTGTGGAGTCTATTTGTATTTAATATTAGAAAGACTGATTCTTATTATGACATTATAAGCTTATAAATTATTGTGCTCATTTTATGTTGATGTGACTTTGGAATAAATGGACAAAATCACCAATCCCAAGGTTTGATGGAGTGGATAACGAAGGGAAAAGTCTCATAAGAAAATGTTAGCCTGCAATAACAGAGTAGAAAGATCAGGTGCAGACACTGGAAGAATACAAAGAGTTATTCATAAACAGGACATCACTCTGGCCTTGAGTTGTGGGTGAGCTTTGCACCCACGCATAGCTAGGAAGCAGCATTATGAAAGTTTCCCACTATATCTGTAGAAACGTTAGCGAAAACAAATTATTAGAATAGAGACAGAGTAGGGAGGGACTTCGCCAGCCGGCCGAATGCTGATTGGGAGGATCGTGTTGCCAAGAGACGGTCTGAGTCAACCAAAGAGAACCAAGTCTAAACCGCGGTATCTCTCCATCTAGTCTTGACCAATCATAAATGTACGGGCAACGCCCTGTGTAATAAAATGTATAGTCGCACGAGGTTCGAGGCTCTTTTCCGGAAATAGTTGTTACAGATTACAGCTTTGCTGCCTGTAATTTCTATGACGTGACGGAGTCCTTGGCCAAGTGAATATATATATTTTGCTCTCTTTTAATAAATAGTTAAACTTAGAAGTTGTCTGTCTTTCCTGGAATTTTGAAAACAACAAAATTGGTGACCCACGACGTGATTCCAAAAAGACGATTGGGAACTCCCGACTTCGAGTCCAAAGAACGTTGTGAGGAAGTAAAGGATGGAGAGATAAATGCTTTGCTAAAGGAGAACCTAAAGAATGTTGTGAGGAAGTAAAGGACAGAGAGATAGATGCTTTGCTAGAGGAGAACCAGGATCTCACTGAACCTAAAGAACCTTGTGAGGAGGTAAAGGACGGAGAGATAGATGCTTTGCTAAAGGAGAACCAGGAACTCACAGAACCTGAATAACCTTGTGAGGAGGTAAAGGACGGGGGGAGATAGATGCTTTGCTAAAGGAGAACCAGGATCTCACTGAACCTAAAGCACGTTGTGAGGAAGTAAAGGATGGAGTGATAGACGCTTTACTAGAGGAGAACCAGGATCTCACAGAACCTAAAGAACGTTGTGAGGAAGTAAAGGATGGAGAGATAGACACTTTGCTAAAGGAGAGCCAGGATCTCACAGAACCTAAATAACCTTGTGAGGAAGTAAAGGATGGAGAGATAGACGATTTGCTAGAAGGGGACCAGGATCTCACAGAACCTAAAGAACGTTGTGAGGAAGTAAAGGATGGAGAGATAGATGCTTTGCTAGAGGAGAACCAGGATCTCACAGAACCTAAAGAACGTTGTGAGGAAGTAAAGGATGGAGAGATAGATGCTTTGCTAGAGGAGAACCAGGATCTCACAGAACCTAAAGAACCTTGTGAGGAAGTAAAGGATGGAGTGATAGATGCTTTGCTAAAGGAGAACCAGGAACTCACAGAACCTAAAGAACGTTGTGAGGAAGTGCAACTCGATTTTGACAGGAAAGCAACTGGAGACTTCTAGAATTGTGTGAGTAACATTCTGTTTTTAGACTTCTCTGTTTCAGTGTGTGTACTCTGTATCAATGCTCTGTAGTTGATCTGACTGAAATTGTGATTTTAAATCTCAAAACCGCTACAGTATCTGTCAGGCAGAAACTTGGGACAAGTAATTTGACTGAAACCTTCAAACTGAAATAACTGACTGCTAGGGTTAACTTTGATTTAAACATTTGTAGAATACTAAGAGCTTTATTGAGTAGGTGTAACTGTATTAAGGGTTAAACTCATAACTTTATAACTTAGGGTTTAATGTAATTGTAAAACCATTGGGCCACTTAAAATACAATAACAAGCTAGGAGGGAGCCAGTCTAGTTTTCCTTTTGAGGGCCACCAGCTGCAGAGAGTTAACTAATTAAAGGGACGTGGCCCCACAGCTGTGAGAACTCAGCAATCAGGTGTCCATTTTAGGTAGCACTTTCCTGGAGCGTCAGCTTCAGCGTCAGACAGACAAAGACATTGGAGTCCTGCGGGAGTCACGAGGGAGGCAAATCCTAC